GTGTGTGTGTGTGTGTGTGTGTGTGTGTGTGTGTGTGTGTGTGTGTGTGCTCTGATTTACAGTAGGACAGCAGTAAACTCCTGTGCTGCTGACTGGACCAGATGCTCCATTGAACTAATGAAGACATCTCTTTTCAAGCATCAATTGATCCGCAACCTTTTCTTTTTATTCTGTAAGAACATTYATCTTTTACCAGAATTAAACTCTCACTCTCCTTTCTCTTTCCGTCCACTGCCAAAGTCTGCGCCCCCTTTTTTYTTCTTTCCTTGCCATGTAAATACACATCCAGAAGTTTGATGTATGATTTGTTTTTACTTCCTGTCACGGTTAATTCCCTTGCTTCTCTCTTTGAGCATCTCTGAGGCTGCAGCTTGAGCTTTCTCTAAAGAAATATTTTCTTTCTTTCTCAACTCTACACAAATATCCACACACACACACACACACACACACACACACRCACGCACGCACGCACGCACGTACGCACAGAGTTAACAGTCTATTTCTTGCTGCTCCTAGCACTTACCACAAAGTCACCATTTAAAATGCAGTCACCTCAGTTGTTTCTCTGCCATCTGACAGCAGCACCAACGTTCACACTTCACTCTCTTTTGTCAGCAGACACCAGATGATAATGAACTTTATCACGTCTGTGGAACTCATATTAGACTCATAAAGAGTTCATTTTAACTGAACCTTTTTTTCTTTAAATTAGAATAAACAAACGCTTCTACAGTTTTTGTACAGATGAGGTTACAGATGAGTCCTATTGGTTTATTYAGAGGATATTGTTGCATCTTCATAGTCGTCCAGCCTTTTCAGAACCAGTAGTTTGGAAATCAAAATCTATTTCTAATAACGTGGTTGGTGGGTTAGGGGTCAGGTTTACTTTATCTTTAAACGAAAATACAAACTTGAATGAGTGTTCATTTGTTATGTCAGAAATGATTTCATGAACTACTAGATCACGTGTCAAACTGAAGGCTCGCAGGCCAAATCTGGCCCTTGTTAGCATTTTATCTGGCTCCAAAGGTAATACTTTAAATGTAAAATAGTTTTATGGTTTCCCTTTTTGGTCACAGGATTTAGTGCAATTCTTCTCATGACAGCTGGACAACTTTCAAAGCAAGAAAATTACTACGAATTTTTCAGTATTTCTTTTGTTATTATTATTTTGCTGTGGAAAGCACAACAGAGAATTTACTATATATTGTTTGTATTATCTTCTTGTTTTAAAGTCATATATTTGGACTTTTTGTCAGTGTTTATTATTTTTTACCTGATTTGCTTATTTGTGCTAAAATGAATGAAGAATCTTTTATCGTGATTTTCTTTYTTTCTTCATCAGGTTAGGTAAGTTCTAAATTTTTATATAAAACATAATTTGGAAAATGTCATTTGTACTTTTATAAGAATAATTTGTTAATAACATTTTTTCAGTAAATACTGACAAAAATTGGCCTTTGGCTTGGACCRAGTTTTAAAGGGCTAATGTTATGTGTTTCTCGGGCATATTGTTTAATTCTACACCAAATTAAAGTAACTATGTCACTTTCAGTTGCTACAAAATGCTGTCAATATGTATAAATCAAAAATTTATTTTACTTCCCATCACAGCCATTTCTAAATGCTTCGAAATTGGCCTCTGTCTCTTTACAAACCTTGGTTGTAATGATAATAAAAAAACAGCAACRTTCTACAATATCATTTTTGGAAAATAGAAAATCAGGATACAATTGAACCTCATTGAATGAATCTCATGTTGGACCAGAGAATATGTTTTCTGAAGAACCGGAGTGTCAGCCCTGTTTGACTGTGATGAAAATATCTCATAAACCACTCAATGGATTTTAATGAAACTTGTAGATGTAATCTTTGGGTGTACATMTACTACTAACTATGAGAGAAAGTATATGAGAGAAATTTGAATCACATAATGTGAGCTCTGATTGCACAATTAGATGAGGTTGAGCATATTGTTATTTACAAGGTTTGACCAAAACAACTAAAACTCATTATTACTGTTTCTCATCATAAAAAGAGTTTAGTTCTTTATTTGCTTTGTAGTTTCCTTTTAAAGTAGCAAAACTTTCATCTTTCAATAGTTCATGTTTTCTGAATTCTTCTTCAAACTTAGGCTGCTTTTTGTTCATTTTCTATCCAGTGTTTTGTATTTGACCTGCATATTGTGCAGTGTTGAGGACAAAAACAGAYGTGTCAGAACTTAAAAAAATAAGAAAAATAAATGTTTCTTACAGCAGATGAACAGTCCTAAAATAACTGATGCATTACTTGATCAGACCGTGTGTGTATTTTTCAGCTAACAGCTCTACATTGTTTTTAAAAAAGAAGAAAAAAATGTTTTTATGTGTTTTTTTATACGTTCAACTCAAGAAAAGGAAAGAAACTGTCTGTTTGTGACAGGCTGCTGGTAACAGTGCCTAAAGATCCTATTTAAAATACATTTTTTGCTAAATTGTCTTATGTGTGTCAACACAACATATAAAAAACATTATCACTGCTTCACCTTGGGCAGAGGGCAATACTGATGACATGAAAGTAATAATAACATCTGGAGTCAAGTTATCGCCTTATAAATGATGGCAATAACAGTTCATGTTTACTATATTTCAGTTTTTATTTTAGCTCAAGTTTTTTCTCAAAATCTCTGTTTTTTTTTTTTGTTTGTTTGTTTGTTTGTTTTTGTTTGTTTTTGGAGTTTTTCTGGTGCAAGTGGAGGTGAAAGCAGCAGGAACACAAACAGGAATGAAAACATCAGGAACCCTGCAGAGTGAATCCATTGTGGAAAATATCAAATGCAGCTCATGCTGACGCGGCTGGCAAAGTGATCACAGAGCTGATGCATCTGTGATGACGGCGATTATGAAGCCGTCATGCCTTTTATTGCCTGTGTCTGCGGCAAAACACTGACAGATAATTTAGAGGAGATTCATGGAGGCGGGAGGGGAGTTCTGGGCTTGGCACTGAGCAGCATGAAAAACATAATCTACATTCATTTAACTGCTTCACTGCATTTATATTTATTTATCAGCTGAAGACACAACTATAAAGCTTTCTGGGAGTTTGATAGTGTCTAAATAATCACTTTTGTGTAAGTAATGTTGCTGTTTGTGTCGTTTCTAGCAAATGAAAACATCCAGAGGATTGTTTTCTGTTTAATAATCCAAACAGGTGTTCCAGTTATCAGTCATGAGACAATTACTGTCAACATCGGTGCTAAATAGTTAAACCAGTACACACA